CCTTGCCCGCCGCGTAAATTATTAAATACTGGTCGTCCATCAGCTATTTTAACGAATAGGTGTCAAAAGATCGAAAGTCAAAACGTCGAAAAGAAAAATATCGAAGAGGCAAAACATCGAAGAGGTAAAACATCGAAAACAAAATGTCAAAGGGCATAATATCGAAGGAAAAACGTCGAAAAGATAAAATACCGAAAGTCAAAAAATCGAAGAAAAATATACCGAAAGTGCAAAATGTCGAAAATGTTCTAATTTGTACCACAGAAAAAAATGCTGCATGCACATAGCCAGGGATGGCCTGACCGGGGGTGTCGGGGGTGTGACACCTCCAATCCTCGAAAATTTTTGCATTTTCCTGGTAAAATTCAAAAATTTTCTTGTGTTCTGTCAACGAAAATAACATTACACCAAGCCTCCCGCCCCCCAAATTTCCCAAAAGTTAATCTTCACTCCCAAAAAAGTTCATTACACCCAGCGACGTATCCAGAAATTTTTTTAGGGGGGACCGCCATAGAAAAAAGGTAGCTTTTAAGTTGGGAAAAAAAATAAACCCGTACCCCCTTCAGATATTTAAACATGTTAGGAGGGGGATCGGTCCCCCCATTCCCTTTCCTGAATACGTCGCTGATTACACCCCCCTAATATTAGTTGATTCGGTCCATCCCTGCACATAGCCTATTCATTCTCTTACATTATTGTTGATATATTTCTCTGCAATGGTATGTGCACGTATGTAAGTTTTTCCTTTCTTTTGTCACAAACTCAATTAGTATCTTTCTTTTCACTCAGTAACTATTTTTTCTTATTATTCGTCCATATATATGTCTTTCTAACGATATATATGTGCATTAAATCATTTATCGTGTCGTAATACATAAGTATTTACTTTACTTATCTTTACATGTCAACAAGTATTTCTTTTGTCACAAGCAACAAGGGAAAGCCCTTTTTGGTGTATGATAGTTATTTGTACAAGATGAATAAAGCAACTGCGAAAGTTTTTCTGAGCATTTGAATTAAAATATAACACTTTTTTTATCTATTTTCTTTCTTCTTACCCTCAACGATAATACAAAAAGTTGTATCTACTTTCATTTCGCAGACATAAAATAATAGAATATGAACTATTAGAAAATTTATCGGTACTATCATTCATATTCAATATTTTCGATATTTTACTTTTCGACATTTTGTACATTCGACATTTTGTTTTTCGATATTTTTGCATTTTCGATGTTTTACTCCTTCGACATTTTGACTCTTCGATGTTTTTTTTTCGACGTTTTTCCTTCGGTATTTTGCTCTTCGACGTTTTGAATTTCGGTCTTTTGACACTTTACCATTTTAACGGAACAACAGCAGGAGAATATACGGTGAGTTTAATTCAATCGAAGATAACTGAAGAGCAACATCAACATAAGCATTTTTTCGATTTCATGTTCATTCCCTTTTGGCCGAGAAAATCTATCCCACCGTCAACAAAATTCTTAGCCGTATTCGAGCTGCCGATGCTGATTTTCCTATCCAGTCAATGACATCGCTTTGGCGCTGGATGGGTATGTATTGAAAACGCCGAAAGAAAAAATGTCGAAGGAAAAAAAGTCGAAAAAAAAAGGTCGAAAAATAAATGTCGAAAAAAAAACGTCGAACAAAAAAAAATCGAAAGAGAAAAGATCGAATGAAAAAAATGTCGAATCAATGAAAAACGATGTTAGATGAAAAATATTAAATATTTATTTATTTCACTGAAAAAAAAGGAAAAATACGTTTATTGATAACGACAAATAGCTCTAAAAAAATGAATCATTCGATAGGTCCAGATGTGCGTGATTAATATAAAGTTTGTTTTTTTCGCGATGAGCAAAGGTGTGGGTGTGGATGTAGATATGGGTGTGGGTGTGTGGGTGTAGATATGGGTGTGGGTGTGTGGGTGTGGGTGTGTGGTGTGGGTGTAGATATGGGTGTGGGTGTGTGGGTGTGGGTGTGGGCTAGGGTGTGGGTGTGTGTGTAGGTGTGGGTGTGGGCTAGGGTGTGGGTGTGTGTAGGTGTGGGTGTGGGGTAGGGTGTGGGTGTGGGTGTATGGGTGTGGATGTGGGTGTGGATATGGGTGTGGATATGGGTGTTGGCTAGGGTGTGGGTGTGGATGAAGAGTATACATACACACCCACACCCACACCCTCATAAGATAATTCCTCGATTTTTCTTTGTTTCTTTGTGTTCTTTATATTCTGTGTGTACTCGATATTCTAGAATGTTCACTCATGCAATGACTTATTAGAGGAAAAGCATTAGCTAATCAACGAAACTATAAAAGAAAATACGAAAGAAAACACGAGAAATATAATAGGAAAGAAAATCAATATTGGTCAATAACGACATCTCAGAAGTTTCGACATATTACATGATCGACGTTTTTTTTTCGATTTTTTTTCGTTCGACGTTTTTTCCTTCGACGTTTATTTTTCAACCTTTTTTTTTCGACGTTTTTTCCTTCGACATTTTTTCTTTCGGCGTTTTCATAGTAAATCGCTGGATGAGAAAACTTGGATTTGTATATAAACGAACATCCAAAGTCATCGTACCACTCGATACCCCAACATTTATGGCAGCACGTGCGCGCTATTTTGCTACTCTTGATGAATTTCGTACCAGTGGTGCCAAAATTTTTTGGCACGATGAAACATGGGCCAATAAAAATGAAGAGAGGCGCTTTGTTGGGACTGATGGAATAACAGGCATAGGTCGAATGCGGCGTAACCAGAATAAAGGTATTCATTATTTCTGTTGTAATTCAAATGATTATTGTTTATGATTATAGGAAAAAGATTAGCCATTTCTGCTCTTCTAAATGAATCAGGTTTCCATAAGGAAACAATCGACATATTCGCGTGTGAGGAAAATCATAGTATGGATTCGAAACACTTTTTAACCTGGATCGATCGAACAACCTCTCTTTTGAGAGAAGAGTTTGGTAGTATAATTAATAATCTTTTACCATGGTCTCCATTGTTGTTATATTTAAGTCAACATGTCAAGATTGTCTCGATTATTGATAATGCGACATGGCATAATCAACTTACTGAAGACACCATCCCTCCGAAGAGGGCATGGCGGAAAGAACTTATCATCCAGCGGCTGATAAATCATAATATCTCAATTCCTGTTAAAGCCTCTAAAGCCGAATTACTGATGCTCGCCTTCGATAATCTGCCACCAAAACGTTATGTGGTTGATGAAGCAGCCAAAAAATACGATGTTGATATTGTGCGGTTAGTCGAACGATTTGAACGTAGTTTTTGCATTAATAAACGTATTTCTATAGATTGCCAGTTAAGCAATGTATGCTCAATGCAATTAAATTAGCATGGGCAGGTTTGAAGAATTATGTACGTGACAAGAATGTCAACTTTAGTTTCAATGATGTTCGACATTTGGCCTACCAATGGATGATATCTTGGAACGAAGTAACCGCTATGGGATATATCAATAAAACACGTAAGATATAAGACATCTTCAAGAAGTCTGATCGATTCACCGAAGTAATCGAGGAACAGTTGGTAGATAAAGAAGGAGATGTCGATTCGGCGGAAGAAGACATGGATGATTGACAATATGCGCTGCTGTTCTTTGTCCATTCCGCAGTTGTCATTAAAAGAATGACATCTAAGCTTGTGTGCTTATGTTTATAAGTATTTTTGAAAAAATGATGTATTTACTCCAAGTCAACAACATAGTAACATATGAAAGTAACATCGTACAATCGCTAGTAATAGTATTTTGATAGAAAAAGAAGTATTCTATAGCAAAATAAATATTGTCAATTGATCCAGCATGATGAAAAACATTATTAATAATAATTTGAAAAATATTTTACGCAAGACAAATTTGACTAAAACTCAGTCAGGTGCCGTTAGTATTTGATCCATAATGTTTGAATGAGTTAAGATAAAAATTTCGGGCTTTCGTAGATTTGTAGCTCGTCAGCTAAGGATTCTAGTCCACTCCTGAAAGTTTAAGATTTGTTGCTTCTCCATAGGACAACAGACTACTCTTTCAATATGACCATGGATCACTACCTATTTATGAAATAAATTTCAACAATTTTATATGAATCGATGCATTGTCTCAGCCTCTTTCCAAGGGTGAAAACTACAGCCCTCTATCTTGTTCCTATCAGGAGTTATTCGAAAAATACCCACGTGTCTTTTATTTTGAAATGGGCAATACTTAAAATTAATTTATTTCGGCACTAGAAAAAAATTTATACAAATTGTAAGTTGATTCATGCATCCATTTAGAGCCTATCTATTTTTTTCCAGAACTTAACAAAAAGATGCCACACTTCGATTCGCCATTCACGTAATCCTGTAGAGAATAAGATCCTGTATTTTTCGGTACAAAAAATAGAGACTTGCCAATTGAACTTAAACTTAAAAATCTTTAATTTTCAAAAAATTCTTGGAAAATCACCTCGAAGACTAATTCCAATGAATTTTTTGATTCTCAGAAAAGCTTGAATATTAGAAAATGAGAAGTCATACAGTGCAGAAAATTCTCTATCACCTGATATAAAATTCTTTGGTTAAGAGGCCTATTTTCATAATATTGCATGCTTTTAAAAAGCACGAGTAACCACGTGTCGCAGTCAAAACATACACTATACGTCAGTATGTTGATTGCTGGATAGAGAAAAAAATTTCTCTTTCAAATCGAAGTTTACGCTTTTGAAGAGCTTCCAATTCTCTATGTTTTGGTGTATGAATGAATATATTTTATCAATAGAAAATAAGAGAAAAATTCCATGTGTATTTAGTGCAATTTATCATGACTCATCTATTAAAAACAAATGATTAACTACTTTTATTTTTAAAAAAAATGTGAAATATTAGTGAACTAAGTTTTTTTTCTAAAATAACTAGTAAATGAGTTGAAATAAAATGTTTCGTATGCTGGAATGATTTCTTTGTTAATGATGTTTATTCAATTCGTTCGAAGTGTTATCAACCTTCTGGGAAAAGAAGTTTTGCTCGTTTTTCACGAAGTTTGTCTTCTGCGTCACATATTGCACGCATTTGTTGTAGTTGATCATCGGTAACACCAAGTTGTTTAGCAAGAGCATGAATCGCTTCGATTTCTTTTTCATGTAATTCACCATCTGCATTAGCAGCTCGGAGCCCATAATAGACGATGGAGAGTCGAGACCTTTGCACATATGGCAAATCTACATCCTGAAAATATTTTTTTACTTCAGATGAGTGACCTGGTTCATATGTTTGGAATTTATTAAGCAGTTCTTGCGGATATCCTACATGAAATAAAATGAATGTCGATGAATAACTTATGAATATTTATACCACACGTAGAAGCAAAACCAATTATCCATTTCCGTTCCTCTTCACTGAATATTCCATCAGCAGCTGCTACCTCACCCAGAACCTCCAGAATAACTTCTCGCATTGCAGGCTTCACTGGTGGATAACTCTTGCCATGTGTTTCTTTCATAAACCATTCATAGATGATTTTATCTCGTGAGTTTTGCTCGTCGCTCATGTTTGATCAAGACACAAGGCTAAAATCGATTGAATATATTGTTATATACACTCATGTATTGCCTACTCTACCTGTATAGAAATCGAAATACGTATAAACAAAAAGCATCTTATATTCTATTTTTTTTGTGTAATCAAGCGAATTACGTAGATGATGAAAAATAAGCTGATCAATAAAAAGTATTGAATGAATATTATAAACTTGTTAGCGCAATCCCTGTGGGATTAAAATGTGAAACACGGTCAACTTGCTTAGTTACATTGTAAATGAGAAAATCCTATGCTGTCTGTCACGGTCTGAGACGGATAGAAAGAGTTGCTAAGAATGTCTATAATGGAGGCACAGTGAACAGAAAATGGGAGTCAGGAGCAGTTCTCAGTTGCCAAATCGCTTTTGAGTCAAGACTGTGTGCATTATGTAGGGTCTAATGAGGTATGAATATCCTGAAAAGAGTTCGTGTTCCTAGCTTATTTCTGTCTCGAGATATTTAATTTTTATGGTACTTTTTAGCAAAAAGTCGTGGTCCTCTCCAGTTCACCGAAAAAAAAATCAGTCTTCGAATTTCGACTTGGAACTTTGCACAGAGAAAGCTCTCAATAAGACTAGTTTTTCTGAAAGTATTGGATGTTGAAGTTGCTTCTATCCCTAGATACGAGTATGGGGAAAATAGTCTTTTTCCCATCACTTATAGCACAAAATCTTAAGCATTCATATTTAAGGATAAATGCAAGTAAAAGATTTGAAACTTTCAGAACAAACTAATCTCATTGAGACTTTTATCTGCATAAAGTTTCGAGTAGAAATTCGAAAGTTGGTTTTTCAGATGAATCTGAGCAGGACCACGGCGTTGTGCTAAAACTCCTCATGGACTCTTATGTTCGAGACACTGTATCTCAACAAGGATTTAAGTGCGCATCTTTGCACATCCACTGAGGATAGATCATGACTTGCTTTACCAAACAACGAACCAAAACTTGGATTAAAGTTCTGGGAAAATTCGGGAAACGAATTGCATTACTGATTAATAGTTTTTTTTCACTATACCACGCCTAAGTTTCTGCTCTTAATATAGCCTCACAAATGCTCTGTAATGTATAGTAAATATATGACACTGTATAACTACATAATAACTAATGAATGTAACGAGATCATCAATTTAAAACATATATCTTCTTTCTATGGTCCCATTAATAATATTCATCCATCGTATGTACTTTTTAGTTTCTGTTTCTTAACAAATATCCGCAGTAAAACAGAATCCAGTACGCACTTAAATGTAACACCATAGCAGCTTCAATACTAGCTACAATATGTACTTGGATCTCGAAAATCCATTTTATCGCTTAGCTGTTCACTATTCGGTATTTCACCAATGTAACATTTTTAGATGTTCTATTCATCCCACTTTTATGACAAAAGAATGAAGATTTTACGTCTTTCTCAGTCAGTACAAATAGTGCAGCCTCTAATAAATCAGCTTTAAGTCAACATTCAAGAGAATGCCGAATATGTTGAATATTGGTCGAGCAGGATAATAATCCGGTACATCAAGTAATGCATAAGTAATAGGTTATGAATCGACAGTAAAGGTCCACTATTTCGCTGGGATCTCATGCAACATCTCACTAGTACATAGATGTTATTTCAACTACTGCTTAATATATGAAAGATTAGTGTTGAAGTTGTTGATACGAGTATTACACACTTGTATAATATCGCGATGGAGTTGCAAATATCTTTCTCTTGGCAATAAACTAATGGAAATAGAAGTCATATACAACTATCTGTCTAATGAGGAAACTACTCGAGGTGTCAAAAAGCTTCTGAACTCAGATTTTGTTCACAGGTAGGGCATAGATAGACTAGCAAAAGTCCAATGTGGTACGTGTGCAAGTTGTAATTTGGCTGAGATATTAACATTTTAGTATATTTTTTTCCAGTACAACCCTACTTTTCGGATGAAATCAAAGTTTAAAATTTTGATCTAAAGTTTTGTCCATATCAAGGTTTCAATCAGATTAGCTTTTCTACAAAGTTTTAGAATTTTGAGGCAAATTATCTCCGAGATCGGGTTTACCAATATATGTATGCATAACACAATATCCAAAGCAAACGGCTGCCATGATAAAATATTGATATCTCTGAGACAATCTGTCCAAAAATTCTAAAATTTTGCAGGCAACCTAGTCTGATTTAGGCCTTAACTTAAGCAAAATTTCAGGTGAAAATTCTAAACTTTGATTTCATCCGAAAAGTAGAGTTCTACTGGAAAAATTTTATTAAAGTGTCAATATCTCATCCAAATTGTAACTTGCGCACATATCATTTTAAATTTTTGCTAGTCCATCGGTGCCCTATTTATGCACGCATTCTGAGCTCAAAAGCCTTTTGACATCTCGGGTAGGTCCCTTGTAAGTATAACATAAGATAATGGAAAATCGGAGAAGTGCCTAATTCGAGTTCTAGTATAAATGACAATATCCCAAAAATCCATCAGCAGCACTTCTTAGGCCAAACGACAAAGAATAAAGTTTTCCTATTACTATAAATTGTCACATACATAAGAACTTTCTTGTCACTGCGGCAAAGCGGCAACAAGGAAAAAGATAAAGTTTTGCCTAAATTCTAAATTATCGTTTACAACTATGACAAAACTTCTTTTGCTTTCTTGCCGAGCTGGCAGCGAGTATGAATTTGCGCAAATTCAAAATTCATACCTCTATGCGTCTTAAAGTTCTATAGATATAGAGGTACAGAAGTATGGGTTTATAGTGATGTACAAGTATTAGAGGTAGAGAGGAATTAGAGATGAGATATATAAGCCTCACAGCTATGACATGCACAAAATATTATACCATCCGCAACTGCCTTCCGCTGAACATTACGCTTCCTCCGCCTAAAATAACGATTTCTCCTTACCGTTATCCACACTTAGGCCCTTGCCTCTGCCCTAGAAAGGTCTGTTCCCGTGACCATGAGACTTTACCTCATCCTCACCTTCACTGGTACCCTTGCCACTAGTCCCAAAGGCTCTTCCCTCATCCATGTCCTTCTTCCAAAAGTGCTTTCCCTTTATCTTCTGTACCTTTATGCCTCGAATATTTTTATAGTTCTATATCTTTCTTTTGTTGCAAATTGATGTTATTTATAGAACTTCAATTTGCCATAAAATCGGAGTCTTCACATAGGTTTTTGTCAGAGGTACAAAAAAAAGTTCCAATAACCAATAATAGTTATCTTTTATAATTGTGACAAAACATTATATTTTGTCGTTTACTATAATCAGGTACCGATTTTATTTTTGTTCTGATTTAATTCCAAATTAGTATTATGCGTTTGAAGCTTCATTCATATTTGAAATCAAATTAGGCAACTCATGGGAAATCGAAATTTACTCCAACTTGGTGCAAAAATTGTTGCGATAGGAAAGGTTAATAAATGAAGCTTACTTTTAATTTTTTTCACAAATGCGACTGTGTTTCTGCATAATTTATCAGCCTATTGCGAGGATATTGAAGAAAAGGTACCGTTATTACCTGTTAGTATCGGTTTTTAAACGACATATAACAAAAACTCACTCGAATTTCTAATTGTAACAATTGTTGATGTTTGTAAGAGTCTATGGAAAGTAAGAGTGTCTGTGTTTGATTCAAATTCAGAGACGTGAGTTTATAATCTATTGACGTTTGCTTGCTAGATGGAGTATGTTTTTTTTTAATTACTTGTTGGTAGCGCAAGCAGTAGTTTTTATCTATAACATGCCTGAATGATTTCGTCGCTGTGTTTTTTCCCTCAAAGGTAAGTTGGAAAGAAAAGCAATTATCATCGCTCATCAGTAATTTTAATTGACAACTCATTATTGGTTATGCATATTATCATTCAAGCGGAGAAAGTTGGAAAAAA